AACACAATGACATGATACATAGAATTAGAAATATCTTGACTTATTTAATTCCATTCATCACCGATACGACTTAAGTCGATGATTATATACGAGGGTAGTCAGGATGTATATTTTGATAGCAATCATCCTACTATATGACTGGAGTCAGATAACAGGGCCACTAAAGTATCAACCCCCCCCCAAAGAAACCTAGGTAAATCATGTTAACGGATGCTGACAAGTCAAATTGCTAGATCCAATACTTTAATTTTGTTGCTTTCGATGACTGTATGTCAAATTTATTCATTTATTGAAGAACAACAAATGTAAAGTAGAAAAACTATCAGTCATATATATGCAAACATGGATAGTGATTAGCAGTGGGATCCAGGATGCGCATTTCGTCCTATTTGAGACTCGTCAGCTGTATGTACATGCATCTCAGGGTTGATGTTCGCTCTGGGACTCGAACTCAGTGCCATTCACTTCAAACTCCATTTGCTTGTGCAATGGAGTGAAGTTTAAACTCACTTGGTATTGTTTGTTTGAATCTTACCATTAATGTTTAGGACTGAAATTCATCAGTCTCTTATTGGCATTTGTGAATACTGCGCGTATTTCCTCGATATAGTCTTGATTCACAAGTATTACATGCAAAGATAGATAGTGGCTAGCAGTGGAATTCAGGACGCGCGTTTCGTCCTGTATGTACCTGCATCTCAGAGTTGATGTTCACTCAGTTTTATAAGAATTCATCTAAAATGTGTACTTCGAAAGTGCATAAAGGATACTAAAGCAACATTTCATATCAATATTTCTTTCCCTAAACCATTGTGCTAATATTCTTCACACAGATTTCGAATTATTTTCAGATCCTCAATTGAATTAGAATATTGTGAAACTGTAAATTCAATCACATAGTGTAATTAAGTGAATTCAGGGAATAAACATTGATAAAAATGGGGAATATCAACTAACAGACTGATTTATTTACACAAAAGTTATTTCATGTTGATTGTGTGGTAGTCTACCATCATCAGCTATATATGAAGTAGGTATAAATGCTTTGTCATGAATCTATTATGTTATGCTTATTAAAGATAGCTCAAGTAGGTTTTAGCTACTTTCTACACTTGTTATATAAATGAGATATTCGTCTGCCAATAAACGTGCAGATATCTTACACAGAAATCCTTTCAATTTTTATTGATAATTATGAAGGTAGAATCTATATGTGAGTTGGAAGCATTTGATCATTTGTGGCCTCGAGTATCGTGGAACAAACCAGTTAGTTGTGTTGATATAAAACTTTAAGTAAAGATATCGTATTGGTTAGTGAAGCTCTAAATCTTCAATGACTGAAGTAGTCGGGATATGTATTGGAGATGCGCAATCACCGCCTAATGTAACTCTTAATTTTCGATTTGATAGGAGTGGGTGGGAAAAAACAACTCCGAAGTTTATATATTATAAACATTAGTCAATAGAACAAGCACATCTAATTGTTTTGCTCATACATTGTCCTCTTGTTCAACAATGACTAGCATATGAGGACTAGATCCACTGAACTCTGGTACAATCAAACAAGTGCTAATAGTTTCATTAGATCAACTTTAATAACAATATATGTCTAGGTAAAATTTAAGAGATAACTGGAAACTCCATCCTATAATTTCAATCACTGACTTATAAGGTATAATTAAAATCAACTAAGGACGGATATAAAGAGTAATCAGTTATTGAGTCAAAATGCTATGAATATAGTATTACAACCATCGATTGTGCATCATTACACTAGTAAATCAATACATTTCTCAAGCCGTAACATGTTGCAAACCAGTTCGCTATCTGCTATCGAAGTTCATATATGATGCAATCGAGTTAATAGTAAAATGTAGAAAGGAAAAAGTTTTGCAGAAAACGTTTACTTCAGTAGTCATATATTTTATCACACAAGGCTCACTCCTAAAGGTAAGAAAACAGGGAGCGTGCTTGAATTTACTTCTTCTATATCTACCTAACAATCTATTTGTTTCAGAGAAGCATAATCAGGCACATTCACCTCTGGGGACCACTTTCTTTAGGTTTGGATAAAGGGCAAATAAAAACTTCGTGCTCATCAAATTGATCAACTCAGAAAATCAGGTTAAATTGAATAAAAAATTTCGAACGACTTCTTGTATACCATATGGTTTATTTATACGTCTACATACGGCCGAAGTCATCTGTATCCACCTAAAAAACCTGATCTTTATCTACTAAGTGACTTCGTGAAAACTATTTTTGTTAACGTGAAGAAGTAACAGAGATTTACAAATGACTTGTGATCTCTCATTTTCATGATGTACATTGCACCCCTCTCTGAATAAAAATTGCTGATACGCTGTTTATTATAATATAACCATTGGAAGTAGTTAACTTGTGAACGTACTTTTGTCAATTATTTTAATACATATCATGTAATCCGTCAGTTTTATTGCAATTTGTTTCCGTTCATATATTAAATGAATACTGAAATCACATGCTTATCGTCGTTGGCTTTTTCAATCATTTATCATTATTTCGCGAAAATAATTCCCAGCTGGTTATAATATTAATAAACCTCACAACGTCCCCCTGATAGACCTTTAATTTCATCATCAATATCAAATCCATACGCGGTTCATAAAGAAAAGAGAATCGAAGAACAAATTCTTTATTCAATCCAGACACATTAGCAGTAAATTTCATTGCTATTTTTTACCTACTAATAAGTAGTTTAAGTGTCTAGACGATAATTTATGGACGAATCGATCAGATTTAGAATAACAGGTATTGGATTTTGGCACGAAATTCTTTCATCTATATAACTAATAGCACTTGACGTTATAGCTGATGTCAGTTCGCGATGAAAACCTTAGCGCCCAACTGTAAATCCTAATCCTGACTCATCACACTAATTTACAATCATCATTTAATCGTAGTAGTAATGTGAATTTCCTCAAGGTCGGTTCAGCGTCGCACAAGGGTCATCTGTAAATCATAGTCTCACCGAGAAAATGTAATAAGTGAATTTATCATGCCAATTCAAACTTAGAAAGCAAGTATGGCAGTGAAGTAGTTTTCTTCCGCAAGATTTTATTCTTCAGTAGCCATGAATCCATGGGAAATTACCAATGTAATTAACTAGTTTGATTGTTATTAGTATGCACGTGTATGTGTAGAATGCGTGACGTACAGTTTAGACTCAGTGGTAAAAATAAGTTGTGGAGCGGTGGCTCAGTGGCTAAAGCGTTCGACTCTTAGCCACTAGTTCTTTGGCTCCAATCCTGCTTCACGTACCTCAGTTTCATCAACAAGGTAATATCATTAGTCCCCATACTTGAAGTGTCGTTCATATCTAAATACCCAGTTAATAAGTGAATTTTAATTAAGTTTTGAAATAAGTTGATACATAGAATCATCGACTGAGTCGAATATATAAGACACATAAGCAACTTACTTTATCCATCAATAAAAAATTGCACTTCATGAATACTAATCATTGTAAAAGAGCATACAAACAACATAAATAAACTTATTTAGCACATTACTCATATTATTAATCTCATAAAGAATTGGGAAACAGAAGACCATCAATAGTGAAACGTCAAATAATCGAACTTACCAATGGAGCATAAAATTAACAACAGTATTCTTATGAACAAACACATCCGGTTTAGAACTTTTAGTGAATTGCAAAAATGTATACTGATAATTATCATGCATTCACTAGTGACTGGTTTCAAGAGGTATTTCCTGGAGTTCTAGTGAGAAGCCATATTCAGTGAAGTTGAACCGTGTCTGTTGTGATGCAGTTACACACTGGAGACAATAGTGAACGGTCACTCAATATCATGGATAAGAAAACCACCTGCTTCGATTTGGGCACCCGGGCAGTATCACAGCCCTCACACAAATTAAATGAGATTTGTGTGGCACATATGTATTTGGTGCCTCCTTGTACCAATATGTGTTAGAATAAATAAATAAATAAAATAAATTAACACCGTTGGATGCCAGCCTAGTTGTCTAGAGGTTAAGCGTTCACACACAAGACCGAAGATCCTAGCTCCGCGTGAGGGAACGTGGGTTCGAACTGCTAAGGAGTTCCATACTAGAACGAAACGGCCGTCCAGCATTTCCAGGTTTTCAATGGTGATCTAACATTGATCCACTCATTATTATTGTTTATTTAAACACAAACATTGGTACAAGGAGGCACCAAATAGATATGCGATACATAAATCATTCGATTTATGTGAGGGCTGGGATACTGTCCTGGTACCCAAACCGAAGCAGATGGTTTTCTCAGGAGGCCGCTACTCGAGCCTTTGACATAACGATCTGATCCAAAAGGCAGTGGAGTAAAGTAAGGAGATAAAGCCAGACGGTAGCCGGAGACCAATAATTAGTTCATACGTTATTTGTTTCCTCCGGATACTGGAGCCCATGCGTATTACTGGTTTGAAATCAGGGTTTTCTAACTCACCTAGGTAAATCCTCCGTATTCACCAACCCGGTTAAAGCGCCGGACATTCACTTTTTGTCCTCTCAATTTCGTAGACAACATCCCCGACACAGGAAGACAGTGAGTAGGACTTCCCTAGCAGTGGTTGTATGTACGTGGCCACTTGAGAGCATTTCAAGAGAGAGAGAGAGAGAGAGAGCTGACTCTCCCCACTCTCGGCCATACCAGGGCAATTATATTTGTGTAATTGTTGATACCTGAATACAATTGTATACAACTGACAGAAGAGCTCATATTATGTCGCTGAGATTATTTCCGCTATATTAAAATTCATAAGAGATCAGTTTAAATAGATCACTTAAACTTGTATACTGCCAATCAATACGACATTTTCTCTTCAGAATTGATATCATATCACATACCATAGCTGATGTCAATCAAAGTAAATTTCCATTAAATCTCACGTTCAAAAATTACACATATAGAAATGCATCCTATTTTCCTTTTTCTAAAGAAAAAATGTCAATATTTTGATATAAATGCATTTTATTACATAAAACTATACAAGTCAATTAAAATTTGTAGAAAGAAACAGGGAAAGTAAAATTTCAAATACATTCAGTCCAGCAATAATAACTAAATTTACAACGGTCTACTTGAATACCTGAGTTACTATGTTCTTTCTACCATTTATATATTTTAACAGTTTATCTTTTGGTTTTCGATTATTTTAACAGTCATTAATAATAATAATAAAGTATGAAATAAAATATGGTAAAATAAATACATATTGAGCGAGAGGGGGGGTATTTATTTATAAATGAGAAGTAGAATGGTGTATACAGGTAGGGAATAGTGAGGGGCGAAAAAAATGAAGTCATTATCAATTTAGTTTGTTTTTAGTTTTGTTTTCGTACAAATACAAATCCTTCACGTTCAACATCTTTATTCACTGTAATCGGAGCTGGGCAAACCTGAATGTTGATAAAGAAAGAATAGAACTTTTTTAAAAATTGTTTCAGTTGCAAGATTTCATAATTTTAAGAAAAACAAACTGTTATATTTAGATGGTTATTTTTTTGATATTCCGTGTATAACTTGAGTACTAGAACGCCAGAACCCTTCCAAGTCGTAATGAGAAGACAGAAGACTAGTGAAGGGATATTATTCCAGACAGTGTCAATCGTAGTACAAAATTGTCGGGTATTTATAGTTTTTAGTAAGAACGAAATCATCATTACAGTCCTGCAATCTGCATACAGGGGGTTATTGGCATTATCTAATCGGAAAGCTACACGTAGGAATTCTAGAATATTCTTTCGAAAGGTAATTGGATGAAATATCTTCGTCTCCTTCTGAGCCTCTTACAGCTTCCTCGAGTTCACCCGTGGACCGTCCTCACACAAACATCATAAATAACGAAAAATTGCAAACGAACAATTAATTAATCTTTTTAAACAACTAGCTCCCATCGTTTTTTTTAATCTTCTTGTTAATAAGTATTTAATCGAAATTGTTGTGATGTGCAGTGTCCAAGAATTGACACTAATATGCGAGCTCAACCGACTACTGGAATGAAAAGATACATATGATATGTCTCTTGGGAAATTAAGTCGTTAATGGTGTAGGTCTCATATCTTAGAGATAAAAAAAACTGCTTCTTAGTGAGTCGCATGCACTTATCATCTAGCCAATGTACGACATTTCTCTCCTGAAAATAAGTTTGACTTTTCGGAATCAGCCGAAGTTGGGATGGGGACATTAAAAACCAGTCAGTCAGTCAGTCAGTCAGCTGCAACGTAGGACCAGGCACACATATGCATCGGTCCAAGTTGCCATACCGCATTAGCACAACAAGATGAACACCGGATTCATAGAAGTAGTTAATTCAGTGGTGGTAATATATAGAAGAAAGAGTGTGTATAAGGAGATAGTACAGGAAGATAGAATTCGTTCCTAGAAAGAAAGATTTGAAGTGATTTTAATCTCTTAGTTTAAAGGAAGACAGAGAGTGAATACACCGACGCCATTGTGATCGATTCTGAGCCATGTCACCAAGAGTCTCCAACCATTGGTTACGATAGTCACGCGGACCCCAACCAGGTAGTCTGCATCTACCAACATGGCTCAGACCAGAAGTTAGTGACTTCAAGCACTGATGCCACGTTTTGGTTTGGCCTCACCTAACTTTCTTCCAGTCATCCCTAACACCGGTTACCATTGCGCGTCGCGGTAATCGGTGTTCAGGCATACGCAGCACGTGGCCCAACCATCTCAGTCGATGAAGGTTCATAACCTCATCAACTGATTTACCATCATTTCCTAATACCCTGCGTCTAACCTCACTATTACTTACCCGGTGATCCCAGCAGATACCCGCAATATTTCTAAGGCACCGGTGGTCAAATACTAGTAACTTACGAGTATCTTCTACTCTTAAAGGCCAAGTTTCGCAGCCGTATAGTAGAACGGAACGAACTGCCGCGCAGTATACTCGTCCCTTAATTGATAGACGGATATCTCGCCTACGCCATAGATGACGTAAGTTGGCAAAGGCCAAGCGAGCTTTTCAAATCCGTGCTGAGATTTCGTCAGACACCAACCCATTAGGGCTGATCAGACTTGCAAGATAAGTGAAGTTGTCGACGCGTTCGACTACGTCACCCCCTATCCTTAGTTCAGGTGTTGACGCAGACCAGTCCTGAAGCAACAACTTGCATTTGGAGGGAGAGAAGCGCATCCCAAACATTCTGGCATTGTTGCTCAGTGCTACCAAAAGACTCTGAATTTCATTAGCGTCTTCACCAAACAAGACTATGTCATCTGCGTATTCTAAGTCAATAAGTGGACCTCCTGGTAGGAGATCAATACCTGAGAATTCAGTCGATGAGAGCGTTATTTCCATCAGTAGATCTATGGTGAAGTTGAACAAAAATGGAGAAAGTGGACAGCCTTGGCGGACGCCACTTGAGGTTGCGAAAGCAGATGACAGTTCGCCATAAGCTCTCACTCGACTAGTAGTGTTCGAGTAAAGAGCTTTCACAAGGTTTATGTACTTCTGAGGTACGCCTTTCAATGACAAACACTGCCACAGAACCTCTTGGTCAACAGAGTCAAACGCTGCTTTAAAAAAACCAAACAGTTATTCATTTAAAAAGTGCTATCTAGCACAAATATATTCGTTTTGATTGCTATACATTGGATAAACGTAATAAGGGGAAATTAAAAAGATGAAATCATGGAAGAGATGTTTAAAAATTGCACAGTTGAAGATTTTTTTATTCTTTTCAATCGAAGGTAGGCTATTCTTACGTTTTATCACAGGATGTTAAGATGATAGGAACTTAACAAAATAGAATGAATGGTCACGTTATTCTGCCTAGATTGTTGTTTTTGCTTCTTTTCTAGTTAATAAACGGAACTAAACATTTGAAGATAAACGACAGAAATGATACCATGAATGGTAATTCAAAGTTAGTCAAAAAAAAAAAAAAACGAATGCAAGTAGGGAAATCACGTTTAAATTCGCAGCTCGATGGTTAAATCAGTTCATCAAGTCACTGACTGTTGAATTGAGTCATATTGGTTAATCCAGACTGTCTGGTTGATATCTAGGAAATAACAGAGAACAGTAATTAGAATCGTTGGTTGACAACTGAGAATCGGTTACAGTGCAGTAAATGCACTCGTTTTATTGTCCTTTAGATCTTATGTCGCAGTATCTTCGAGTTCGAATGTTTTATCAGTGATGACAGCACTCACATGAACAATGAGCTATCTACCGACTTCCCAGTATCTCATCACATTTTGTGCAGAGTTCACATTATAAGCAACGATATGAAGTGAATAAGTTAACTACATCATGTGCACAACAACGGATATTAGTGAAACATTTTATTTACTTATCTAATTCAGTGCGTATATATAGCATACGAAGTTGAATGAATTCACTATATTTGAGACTTGTCTGCTAAATGTACCTATATCCTAGTATTGTACATCAACTTGTGATGTATACATGTCAGCAACAACATATTAAAATCTAGTCTTGGATATCAACAAATTGGATGATTCGAAACTCTCCAAACAAGATACAACTGAAGTAAAGAGAATAAATATCGAGATGGTGAAGAAGATTTGTAGCTCAGGTAGATGATTTTGATGGGGTTTTGTTCTCTGAGCCGGATGGCTTGGTCGTGGAGCTTTCATCGTTCTTCTGAAAAACATCATCAGAACAAACTTCAAATAGAAGTCTTTAGGTAGACCTGAAGTTTGTGCTTATGGTGTTGTTCAGAAGAACGATGAAAGCTCCACGACCAAGCCATCCGGCTCAGAGAACAAAACTCTATCAAGAAACAAATACTTTCCGCAGAAAAAAAAACTAAAGTTAAACAAAAGATGGGATTAAAATAATATTATTTTGTTTAAATGACGATTTGTTAAATGAAACATTTTCACTACTTCTTAAATAATATCTAATGTGAAATTACCTCACCCATGATATCGCTGCTTTCATCATCATCTGTAGCATACTCACTTTCCATTGCCCATAAAATTGGTGGTGAACGTGATTTTTCAACTATTTCTTGTTGAGTTATAAATGGATAATCTGTGTCAGTAAATTCTGAGAAATTATCATTATTATTATGCTTATTATCGGATTTGCTATGTCTGGTAGTGTTTTTTGTTGCAATTTCGTGCTCACCAAGAGCTTCAGAAAACAAACGATCCAATTCTTCAGAACTAATATCGGAAACTGAAGAAAACAGCAGAGAAAACCCTTGTATAAGTAACTGTGAAGTTATGGGAAAAGAAAATTTGGTCTTTACTTTTTTCTAATTATTTCATGTTATTAATTTACCAAACAAATTAAACCATTTGAACTCTGTCCTGGGAATTGAAGGAAGAGTTATGACGCCTCAGGATGAAAGCCCAGATTCTTCAGAAGTCACGAAGCCGATGCGCCTTCTAACAACCAGAGCAATTTTTGTAGGTACATGGAACGCCCGGACAACGTATGAAATCGGAAGGACCAGTTAAATGGCAATGTTCTATTTAGGAAGATTTGGAAGGAAAAATAAGTGCCGATGGACTGGAAAGAAGGACACCTCATCAATATACCAAAGGAGATCTGAGCAAATGTGAGAACTATACAGTCACTACATTACTATTGGTACCAGGAAACCTTTTCAACAAAGTGTTGCTGAACCAGATGAAAGACTCAGTAGACACCCAACTGCGAGATTAAAACGCTGGATTCCATAAGGACCGATAGTGCAGACTGAATCGCGACGCTACAGATCATCGTTAAGCAATCAGCTGAGTGGAACTAGTGACTATAAATCAACATCATAAACTATGAAAAGACGTTTGACAGTGTGGGTAGGTGGACCTTATTGAAACTTCGTTGACACTATGATGTACCTGAAAAAATCGTCAACATCATCTAGAATTCATACGACGGATTACAGTGCGAATTCGTGAGTGAAGAACAGCTGACAGACACATTCCAAACGAGGACCGAAATCAAACAAAATTACTTGATCTCTCCCTCTCTCTTTCTTCTGGTGTTCCACTGGATTACGCAAGGTCTGACAGTTATTTGACGAACATGACGCCCAGAAAGAAATGCTTTCTCGTTAATTATTTTTATATAATAATTTGTAGGCAGAATTATGCTGTACAGAGCTGAACCTTGGAGAACTATCACAACTACCATCAAAAAGGTACAGGTGTTTATAAACAATCATCTACATAAGATGCTCAATGTCCGTTGACCGGATACCATGAGCAACAGCCTACTATGGGAAAGAACAAACCAGCTTCCATCTGAAGAGGAAATTAGGAAAAGAAGATGGAGTTGGTGGATAGGACATACATTACGCAAATCATTAAACTGCATCACGAGGCAAGCCCTAACTTGGAATCTTGAAGGGAAATCCGAAAGTGGAAGACCAAAAAACATACTGCTTCGAGAATTGTAAGAAGATATGAAAAGGAAGAATAACAACCGGAAAGAATTGTTCAGGACAGAGTTGGATGGAGAATGCTGGTGGGTGGCCTATGCTCCTCTACGAGGGGTAACATGGGTAAGTTAGTAAGTAGATAAGTAAATGCAAATTGATGTAGTCGGCTTTGAGCCACAGTTTATGTAATAGAGGTCGAACATCATTCTGTAGTTAGTTCGAACCTTGTCCCAATTAATTAGATTTGAACAGTCACACAGTGCCACTGAGCTTCGTGAAAAAGTGTAATTTTAAGTCGAACACATTTGTACTGATGGACTAGATCCACAAATACTAGGAGTCAAATATACACGAGAAATCAAACATAATTAGAATTTCAAATATTGGTGGTTGAAATGAAATGATTCTAATGTTTTAACTAGAATTAGTGATGAATCTTAAATAACAACGATTACCAGAATCTCTAGTCCTCCGAACTTACGGCTTAATACCATTGAGCCGTTATTGTGAGAATGATTTGGTAATATTGTATCTTACTATGTATAGGTTTTTTGTGCTGGTCTTTATGACGGATTAGGTGAGTACGGACTTAAACCTGAAACTTGGTGGTCGGAAGAAGCGCTTTAATTAATTAATTTGATAACGACCTATACTTTGTACAGATGTATTAGGAATGCTGAGGATATAGTGTTATCAAAGATAATATATCTAGTAAAAGTGCTGTACACCCAGCAATCACGCCTTCAGTTAATAATAGATTACGGCAAGCTGACTAACTCGCCCATATTACCTTAAAGAACACAATGTATTTCAGCAGTGATCATTTTAGATAGAGGCATGCGGATAATATAAACCATGTTTCCGTCCTAGATCTTGAAAGTACAAAAATATAATAAATATACGACCAACACATTTCTAATCACTTTCCAAGTGGCAAATAATTGTTAGATCTAGTAATTCAAAATCTTTGTTGTATGTCTGATTCAACATCGAAAAAACAGATACACCGGTATAAGTGTTTGTTTAGAATTCAACTGATAAGATTTCGAGAACTATGTGGTATTTTACCTCAGACAATGAGTAATGTATACTGCCCTTGACTATTTTAATATGAATTTAATCTTAACAACTTAACAAAAAGTACGCAATCCACATTAACTCGAAAGTGTTAAATTCACTATAGGTTTACCTACCAAACTGTTTGATGAATACTGCTTCAGAGTTATCTAGTTCATCTGACTCGAGCTGACTAGATTCCACTTTCGTGGGTATGTCTGTTGAAAAACCGTCAGGGAATACCGAGGAATTAGCAGCATTTGCAGCTGCAACAATAGGTTCGTAAAGTTCTCGTTCACCGGCATCGCGTTCTTCAGGAGATTCTAACGGATTTTTATCGAATTCTGCTTCAATACGCATTAAAATAGGTTTGATCAAATTCCAAACACGAGAAATTACACGATGGTGCAGCAAAGTTGGCAAAATTAGACAAATATTGAGAGCTATATAAGCTAAGGTTACGCCGGAAACATACATGCTAAGTACGATGCATCCAATGCTAATAGTGCTTGAAATAATGAAAAACTAAAAGAATATTAAGGAAAGTACATAATTATTCATCAGCATTAATTGATCTGTGGTATAACAAACAGTAACTCATCAAACACCCAGTTCCAAGTCATGTTCTGAGTGTATAAGCAAGTAATGACAGTCGACCAAACCGTAGTAAGTGGGTTGGAGTTTGAACTTGTGACTTACTGGTTAAAAGCTGATTGCTTTAGTCATCATTCTATTACTCAGACTTAAAGAAAAGATTTTTAATAGATTAGGTAGAGCCAAACTGTAGGACCGATGAACGTTGAATTGAGGACATGACCATCAACGACATATGATAAAGACACTGATTGAAAAAATCATGTTTTTCATAGCCATGCAAAAATCTCATTGATTTGTCTCGTATGATGAAGCACTCTAAGTAGATGAGAATACAAAGTTGAAATTACTCTTTTCTATTTTCGATTTTTATTATCGACTAAGTTGGCATAGCTATTTGTGTAGAGAAGATTCGTGAAACGTCACCTTTATTTATTTAAACACATAAACATTAGTACATTGATGCACCACATAGATATGTGCCATATAAACCATTCGATTTGTGTGAGGGCTGGGATACTGCCTGGGTGCCCAAACAGAAGCAGGGTTACCTTAATTAACGGATAATGAATGCATGGTTATGCAAAAATTTGTAATTGCAAACAAGTTATTAGAAATGGAAATGTATGGTTAGGAGAAATAAAAATGTTAATACAAAGTATGAAAATACACATTAGTGCTCGGGATGTGCAACCTCCAATTCTGTAAAATGTTGGGAAATTGGGACGTTTATCGGCAGTATAAGCTATATCAGAATCAACCTTTATCGATGATATACGTATAACTATAAGTAGTACAATCAAAAATGTGACAAGAAAAAAATTTATTGCTTTCATTAATTAATAGTCAGTATTTCCTGAGTAATCACATAGAATTAGTTCAAAAATATCAAATCGTTTGTCCAAAAAATAAGAGAGTCGGATTGTTAAGATGGACCCCGGTGGTTTGCTTTTGCTCCCATAATGTGAAATGGTTATGCATTAGAAGCTTGCTCTCTAAGAACTTTTAGAGATATCTCGGACAATGAAAACGTGGTCTGAAAAGTGCATTGCCACAAATGAAGAAACTTAGACCAAGTAAAATCAGCGTACCCTAAGTTGACTAGAATAGTTTTCATCTCATCAGTTTTTGTGTTATTGGATAAAATGAGTATAATCTAACCTAGAATTTAATGATAAAACTCGAAATGATGTCACGAGAAACTACCACTATGCAAAACTTTTGTTATAATTTTAACTCAACACTTGAGGAGGAATCCAAAAAAAGAAAGTTTAGTGTTGACGGTCGTTGTAGGAGGATGGTAGGAACTGAAAAAAGAGGTTGATTATGAATACAGTGATCTTGAATGCTGTTAGAGGTATGAGGGCGGTTAGCATTTTCCAGTCGCCCACACCGTGGAAGGGTTCTTCTAGAGGTACCTGAAAAAGAAGTCGGGTTAGAGGTGGTCTTAGTGACCTAAGAGCGTGACCGAGTTCCCAAGGAACAACTGCTTGAGGTCGGTCACACACAACTTTTTTTGTGAGTAATTTTCGTGTTAGCTCCGTACTTGTTGAGACCTTACCGCCGGAGACGAATATCCGTGGAATAAGGCGAGGTGTGCATTTTTAGGGTCGACCCTTTCTTACCCCACCCCTCCTTGTGGGAAGGCAGCATCGCTGTCATGCTGGTTGTATGAAGGAAAAACCTTACTGCCATCACATCTCTGTACATTCAGCAGTACGACTTCGCCATCGGACCTTGGGTTTGCTGCTTTTAGTCTCACCGCTCTTCAGCCGACCTGTTTGGCATGTTAGGACCTTGAGGAACGATTGTTCCAGCCAGTATAACTCGGTTGCTTCATCACGATAGGCAAACCCGGCAACCACGTCAAGGTAGCAACGACGATCGGGTATTTTAATTCAAGCTGCTAACTTAAAATTTGCTGAGAATAGAACTGAATTAGTGAGATGATTGTGCACTATAACAAGTATATGATGTAGGGTACCTCAAAAAAATTATAAATCTAATCGATACCAAAAGAATATGAAAGTTAAGAATGCTCACCGAGAGAGGATGATTTCGATGACACGGGGCAAGCTTATTTGCGATATTAAGTGCACCATAAAGACAGCTAGATATCCAATGGCTAAGATCAGTGGTAGACATGATGCTCCCATTCTCCAAACAAACGGAAACAAGTTCTGAGAATGAACCAGGTGAACGCTTAGAATCTAAAGCAGGAATTGGGAATTTTTTATATTTCATTGCTCTCTTAAAGGAATAGATGAATTTGTACTTGAAAAGTTGTTCGGAAATTACAACAAAAGTTTAAAACGTGAATGAGCAATTATCCCCTGATACTTAAATAGTCTCAAAATCGCTAACCTAAACAAAATAATTTAGCTGTGTCACATTTGGATGGAGAAACCAGGCAGGTTGCGTGTGAAGCATGTTGTATGACATTTTACTCCTATATCAAATGCTGATTAGAATAGGACTAAACTAGTAAAACAAAATTGACGTAGTTAGAAAAAGACATGGTATTGGTATACGAAGATGCTTGTTATTAATGAGTTGTGTATGGAGCAAGTTGAACGAGTTTGCCAGGATCCTTAGGATGACTTGTTAGTCAATAAGATGATCTAGGTACTGATAGACTACAGATGACAAAAACTGATAATGTTTACAACGACAGATATATCCACTTACTGTTTTTCAAATCTTGAACATTTTATTACACGCTATTTCTTTATATCACTTGTTTATGACTTCATATTTTTACTTATTCCTTTCCGTAATATGACAAGGCGTGAAAACTTAAACCAATCCAAAATCGTAGAATTTTGTCGAGTGTCGTCAAGAAGTAGTTGACGCATAAATGCTGAGTTGCATATCTTTTTGTAAACACCATAGTAAAAAATGGGCAGAAAAGGGTTTATGTCATTGAAAAATCTTTATGTGGACCAATAAATAGCCTAGTACCATCAAACCACCGGATGTGACGTAGGAGTTTATCACATGAAAATCGGTTGCACCTATTATAGGAACAATTGAGATATAAAATTCCTCAAAAAAAGTACAGTTTATATTCAAACCACAAACAATAACAGTAAATTCCCAGAGTATCAAGTACGATGAGGAAATTTAAATTTTTCAGTCATTTAGATAAATAAAATGCAACTTCTCAGTAATATACACTGATTTTATTGGATGGACAGTTGTTTGCAAACATACAAGATGTGGCAGGAACCTCATAAAGCCATTCAAATGAAACTGTTGATAACGAAAACTTACAAAGCTCCTTAGGAACATGTTAAAGTCATTACTAATGAAAAATGCTTATTCTAGTAAATTTAACATGAAGAACAGTATCAGCAGAATGGCAAACTTTAGCGAAATATGGGCTACGCTAGCAAGCTTTCCCCTCCATCTAGAGTGAGAAGTTAAGTCAGTAACAGATATGAACGATCTTAACTACGTAAATAATCTCAGAACCCTATATATTCCAAGAAAACCAAATGCATAGCATACAAATTTTGCAAACACGTACCTACAAAAAGCCTTGCCATTAGCGGTTGTAAGAGGTTGCATAACAGGACAAGAAACAACGCCAGACAGGAAATAAACAGTGTACTGAAGTTGCTTTTTACAAATGATCTACAAATAATGACTTGTAATTAAAAACTCACAAAAACACAAGGTGTACGAATGCTGTGAAAACAAAACTTGGAACCACACGCTCCCACAGAAGTAGTGTCTGGATGCGAAGAATTATGAACTCCCATCGACTTATAACACTAAAGACATCATAGAAAAACTTATCATGGGGACTTCGCATAGTGATAGTTGTTGGTAGATTAGTAATTAGCCCGGGGGAATGTAGTTGCTGAGAGAGTGTAGGAAAGTGTGCTCCTGAGAATCTGGAAGAGAGAAGAGCACGAGAAAGAGAATTCAGTACATACAATATTTATTTATTTTGGTACAAAGGGGCACTTGTTGTGCTAATGAGGTGTGGCAACTTGGACCGACGCATACATGTGCCTAGTCTTATTATTATTATTTGAACATAAATATTGGTACAAGAGGGCACCAAATATATATGCGCCACTCTGGATTTCATTATACGTGCACTGATCTCATCACTCACGCCACCGCCATCACTTATGCACGTACCCAGATACACGAACTTCTCGACTACTTCTATCTGCTCACCATCCAGAGTGAGTACAGGATTAGAATCCTGCCAGTCTTGTAGAAGTACTTTGCACTTAGAAGGTGCAAAGCACATACCGTACCTACGGACATTGATTGCCAACTGATTAAGTGCGGATTTCATGGCTTGGGCACCTAGTCTTACGTTGTAGCTGACTGACTGACAAGGGGACACGAAACATATGTGCCAGTAGTAGTTATCATTGACTTGTGTGAGGGCTTGGATACGGTCCGCTTGCCCAAACTGAGGCAGCTGGTTTTCTTAGGCCACTATCCGAGCCTTTGATCTAGAGGTCTAATCCACAAGACAGTGGAGCAACGTAAGGAGATGCAGTCCCATGGTAACCGGTGACCAACAATAGATTCGTACGCCATTTGTTCCGTCGGGATCCTGGAGTCCATATATTTGGTGCCCTCTTGTACCAATATTTGTGTCCAAATAAATAAATAAGCCCACTACACCATTGGTTTAGAATCAGGGTTTCTTAACTCCCCTAGGTGGACCCTCCGTATCTACCAACCAGGGTAAAGCTCCAGAGATTCGCTTTTTGTTCCCTCAATTTCGTAAACAACACCCCCGCTGCGAAAAGACAGTAGCTGTATACGCGTGACCACGTGAGAGCATTTCAGTCTTCAGTAGTAAGGATAGTAGGTTGGTGAACCTGTGTTAATCCTAACAGATTGCCTTTCAGTGAAGGTCCAGTTTCTCCTTGAAAATATTCACTGATAGAGCTGATACTACTTGTTCGGGCAAGGCGTTCCAATCATTGACTACTCGATGAGGAAAACTGAACCCCACTTTAAGTTTATTAGATCGCGGCTTATGAACCTTCTTTCTATGACTTCGGAGATTTTTAGTGCTGGAGGGAGCAAAAAGATAAGACATATTAACACCCAAATCATAATTAAAGATACGAAATGCCAGTATAAGGTCACCTTGAGTCCTACGATACGACAAAGGGAAAATATTTAGGCGTTTTAAACGCTCATCGTAAGGGAGTTTAGAAAGACCCTTCACTAATTTCGTTCCCGCCCCCAAATGCCCTGGTACGGCCGAGAGTGGGGAGAGTCCGCTCTCCCTCTCGAAATGCTCTCACATGGCCATGCGTATATAGCCTCTGCCAGGGAAGTCCTACTCACTGCCTTCTCGTGGCGGGGGTGTTGTTTACGAAAATGAGAGGACGAAAAGCGAATGTCTGGCGCTTTAACCGGACCCCAAACCAATGCTGCACATGGGCTAGCTCCAGTATCCTGCGGGAACAAATGGCGTATGAACCAATCGTTGGTCACCATGTACCATGGAACTGCATCTCCTCACGATGCTCCACTGCCTTGTGGGTCAGACGTTCAGGTCAAAGGCTCGGGGTGTGGCCCCCTAAGAAAACCACCTGCTTCAGTTTGGGCACCCGGGCAGTATCACAGCCCTCACACAAGTCAATTGAGATTTGTGTGGCGCATATGTATTTGGTGCCTCCCTGTACCTATACTTATAAATAAATAATAAATAATTTCGTTCCTACACGCTGGACACGCTCAAGTGAGTTAGTATCCTTTACCAGACATGGGCTAGCTGCTTGGATACAGTACTCTAAACGTGGTCTTACATAGGTGGGATATAAAATGCAAAACATTTCCTGGTCAAAAGATTTGAACGCTCGGCGAAGTGACCACAACGCACGAAAGCCTTTGACAGAGGCTGCGTTGCAATGCGTAGTTGTTTTCAAATCATGACTTATTATTACTTCTAAGTCTTTATGTTCTTGAACGCATGGAAGAGGTTTACCATCAATAGTATAATGGTAACTATTGCCGTGACTGATGTGCATTAGCACACTCTTCCTAGAATTGATTTCTAAGCCCCAACCTCGAGCCCATCTAACTAAATCGTCTAAGTCAGCTTGAAGATCCAGATGATTAGCCTCACTTTTTATTGTTCTCCAGATTTTTACGTCATCCGCAAATAATAATGTCGACGACCTAAGCAACTGCGATAACTCATTTTCCTAGAGAAGGAAGAGTAGAGGGCCTAAGGTTGTGCCTTGGGGCACACCAATCGGATAGCGTCCCACTGACCCTCACCCTCTGTCTGAGGTCACATAAGAGGTTTCCTATCCACTCCTGTGCAGTACCTATTATTCCGAAGCTCGTGAGCTTCTGCATAAGGCCTAAGTGTGAAACCTTGTCAAATGCTTTGCTAAAATCTATGAATATCACATCGACAGACAGACCTTTATCTAAGGCTGCTGTCCAATCCTCTATCGCAATAAGTAAGTTAGTCAAGCATGAACGCTTGTTACGAAATCCATGTTGCTCAGGAGCTAACAGATTGTGTGAATCTATGTGGCTTAGCAACCTAACCCGAATTATCTTTTCAAGTAGTTTAACGACAATGCTAGTTAGACTGACAGGCCGGTAGTTAGATACGATCTGTCTCCGACCATCCTTAAATATAGGACTGACAATAGCATCTTTCCAATCCCCGAGGAGTTGAGCGAGTGAAAGGGACATGTTGAAGAGTGTCGCGAGCGGTTTTGAAATAATGTCCGCAAGAGGAAGAGTTGACACTCCACACCCTAGGGTAGACAAAGCTCTGCCGTACCAGGGCAATTGTTGGTATACATATTGTACACATAAGATGCGGTAAAGTGGTGAGACTATAATTTATGGACGACCTTAGATCGACGCCGAAGTGACCTTGAGCGTGTCTACCTAATACTAGGGATGAAAGAGGGTTACAAAGCAGTTTGAAGAATAAGGATTATGATTCGTAGTTGATTGTTAGGGTTAGGAATTAGATCTGTTTTTCGTCACAAACTGACATCAGCTAAAATGCCAAATGAGTTAGTGATCATTAGTGGTTACTCGAGTAAGCGTTTTTAAGCTCTTTAAAGAGCTTTAAAAACGCTTAAGCAAAATGCTAGTAAAAATGTAAGAACAATTAAAACTCTTGACAAACAACAGAATCTAGACCAACTTCGACTAAACTGCTTTTAGCTGGATATTGTAAATGGCTGAACAAGGCACAAGACAAATGCCTGCCACGGATTAAAATGACCTCATTTCATTTTGCGCGACCTTGACGGGATTTCAGATTCAGATTTGTGTAGTAAGGACAGAAGGCCTACGACCTATATTATTCCTTTTCTAGTATGCTTCTGTGAATGCCTAGTCTTCCCTTGGATGAGTCAATTGAAGGTGCGGACACTACTGCTTCGCGTAACAGTTTCCAAGAATTGATGACTCGGTTTATAAACCTATATGCCGCGACTATTTCCTTCGTTCTTGGCTTTTATGCTCACATATTATGTTCTCAGAGATCTTCTGAAAAAGAGTATATTTCAGGTCCAAAATCATTTCATCACGTCAAAATCAGGTCACCTCATAATCTGCAGCAAGATAGAGTAAAGAGGTCTAGCTTGTGTGGCCAGTTAAATGTTACTGAGCCCTAACCAACTCGGTTGAGTCACTGAATATCGAACAAATCATTGATCCTTGTCAAAGTCAAGGACAACAAACACACATCAATTAATCGTACACCACAGACTGGCTCATGCGTTGGTGGTCACACTCTCGCTTGTACCTACTTTAAATTATTTGTTTCTGTAATAACGTCCTTTGTGTCTTACGGTCTTCAAAGCATCCATGGTACATTGATACGACGAAGAGGTAATCCACGTTAGATGCTGACCTCGAGGTGTGACTTCGGCGTTAGCTGTTGGTCACACCATTCCCGTCTAACTTGAGTAGGCCCCCAATCATTAGACGGAGATCATCTACGTTGGTGATCCACACTGGTGAGCAAGACCTCGAGTAACGCAACCTTTCATTATTATATTTATTATTGCACTCTATACTTATTCTTTTTCATTTTTATAGTCCCCTATGTTAGTCGATTACTGTGAACATTCGTTGCTTCATATCAATGTCGATTAGTACTTAAGCCTAAATAACTAGTACGCACATCTGTTTGTAACTTATCCACTAGCATAAGCGAGACAAGATTAACTGTTGATTATAGATTCATCTTTCCGCTTAATCATTACCAACTATCTTCCGTCTGAAACTATCTACTAGTGTTTTACTTACTTGACCACTACCTGCCTAATTTCCAATTACTGAATTCCATGGCCAAACGGAGGATAAGAATGCTAGAAATTTACGATGAGTTTGAACCACAAATTTCCTGCAATCTTAGATCTCGTTTAGACTGTTTGTTAGGCAATGCTACGTATTTGGCTAAAATTAATTTTGGATTTATACAAATTCAGTCTAGAACGCTGCGTTAATCCAAGCATTTAATCAACTGTATCTCGTATATAATTCGGGTTCGAACTATCGTTTACTTCAAATCTTCAATACTTGGAAACATGGGTAACCTATGCGAGTTTCACAATTGCTTTAGATTACTTAGTATTATGTCTATGGTGCGCAATAACATTTCGTAGCTTCTTCCACGTAGAGTGGTTATATATTGTCACTGCCGTCAAGCTTTAGTCGTAATCATATGCATTTATTACTCATAGGTCGACATACAATGGAAAACGTATTGCATGTGCACGAGCAATATCAGTCCATGTCGTAAATAGTCACTTCGTCGTACGTAATATGTCACTTAACGCTAGATATGAGCTTTTTGCATCAGCCTTTTACGAAACAATCACGTTATCTGGACCCTTTAAACTTTAGTTACATCGGTGGTTACCATTTTTACTAATGTTTACTATACGCTTTGTATTTGCTGTTATCTAACACGGTATATCATGGCTCGACTTCCTTGTTACATGACAGTCATTTTAATCCCGTTTTCGGTTTATCCACATACAATAAGGGTTTGGAAAATATCTAAACGACCTCTGAAATTCTCCATCCACCCCACCATAGCCTTCGCATATGTTTTTTTTATATATCCAACTGTTACAGTAAAAATACACAAACGTACGTTCAGCGCAACCTTCAGTATATACAAGAACGATGTTGTTTCGCTGTACCATTATGAAGCACTTGAACTACTGTAACAATTCAAATTCGACGTCGTACTTTCTGTATTTGATGATCTACAAGCTTTTCAAGCTGCTCTTTGTGTGGTGAACCCCGGAGTTTTGGAATTGCACGGGCAGCTACCCTCTGTACTTTTTCCAGGATATCCGAGTCACATTTCAAGCGGGAACTTGTAGCCTGAAAGCAGTTCTAGAGCTTTGTTCTCACTAAGGTTGTGTATATTGTAGTGAACATGGTAGTATCTAAATTGGTGAATGTCCGCCTTAAAGTCCATAGGGTCCTTAACACCTTAGTTGCAACCTTCCGACAGCGGGCCGTGGTCTTGTTATCATGATTCACCGTCAT